GAAACATCTCCCCCCAGCACAATCCCCCATCAACTTTCATCCCAACACATACCTACAGAAAGTTACAAGCCAGATAAGCAGTTGGGAGCCAGTGCAGACCATATATTCCTCAGGTAAAGTCCATGCCTTCCATTGAGCATATCTAGGTAAGACAGGACCATGACTGGGTGTGGAACGCCCTTTCCTAAGTGGGGGAAGTACTGTCAAATCAGAGCCTGCAGAACCAGGAGCACCTTTGCAGATGCTCATAGGGAATAGCTGAGGAGCAATTATGCAGTGTAGCTGAAGGCCCTGGAAACCAGCATAGAAGGATTCACAGCACTACTGCTCTTTGCCAGAGCAACATGAGCTGTCCTTGTGACTTCTTCATGCTCTGGCCTCCTGCATCACCTTGTCTCAGTCCTGGTTCCTACCTTCCTGTCTTATTGCCTCTTGGATCTTTGCCTGTTCTTGCTTCCATCCTTGTCTCCAGTCTGACTCTGTATCCCAGGTATCTGCATGCATTCTTCCTAACCACACCTTGATCTATAACAGCAGTTCCCAAACGTTTTTGGTCATAGAACCTTTCTGAAGACATTTTTTCCTGAGGAACCCTAACTCTATCCCCGATTTTTACTAAGCATCACGAACTCACAATGTTTTTCTTTCATCTGTTCCTGTTGCCTGAGTGCATTGCATAATGTAGTAAGTTTGGAAATAAAGAGAAAACATTTTAAATATAATGAATGAACAAAGTGATTATATGGTACAATCCCAAATAAATTATTTCTATTATTCCCAACACTGCACAATAGAGTCCTAGGAACCAAATGATGTGATACATTTTCTTGTTTGCTGCTTGGACACCAACTGACAATCAAACAGTTGGCCTCATGTGGTTTCATTTTAAAATCAGCTTTAAATTTGACTTTTGAGATTTTTCACAGAACCCTCATGAGGCTTTTGCAGAACCCTAGGGTTCAGCAGAACACAGTTTGGGAACCGCTGCTCTAGAATATGATTGTCTTTCCAGAGCTTGACCTTTGAACTGTGTACTTGGATTGTTTAATTGTAGGCTCTGTTTGCTTGAATCTACTGCATCAGTGGCATTTGACTATGGATGGTTAAACATCTTGCCTCTGGCCTACTGAACCCACTGCAGGACTTCACCCTGCACCCACACCCTGCTCCCAGCATCCCAACCATAGGTGTCTGCTGTCCATGCCCTGGACCTTACTTATTTATTAAAAGTGTTTTTATACCATCCTATCACAAAAGTCTCAGGATGGTAATAGGATAAGATGCACAGAACACTCAACCCTCAAATAAAACCCAATTAAAAACAACTAAGATTTAAAAAGTTGGGAAAATAAAAAGTGTTTTACACGGTTATTTATTCCTCTCTCCAAGTTACTTACACCTCTAAAGATCAAAGTGAAAACAGCAGTGTGTTTCCATGCACTGTCACTCCAATCTATCCTCCCTTTCCCCTCATTTTATGTGGAGAGAAAAATCATAAGCCTTCCTGATGAATTTCAGTAAGTAGTGTTATAGGTAATTATAAAACTGAGCAGAAGGTAGGTCAACATCTCTTGGTAGAGCTGCAAGGTTTACTAACTCCCAATAGTAGAAAAGCAATAACTTTTTAAATTTTAAAGACTATATGGCATGGTTAACCTTTTGTGAATCACCTCTCTCATCCCTTGGGTTTCTAACCTATAAAATATTCCTATATGATTGTCTTCAATCTGAGTTTATGCTGTTCAGCTGGCTAATTTTAACAATCTGTATTAGAACTCCTGCTACAAAGTAACTGAAATGAAGACTTGCAAATACAAGTTATCCCAGCTTATGTGGGGCAGAAGGAAAGTGGCTCTTCCACAAGTCATTATTTGCATCTAGTTTTATCTGAAGCTGCTTCTATTTTGTTCTTGTTGCTGGTTGATAGACCTTAGTGTTCTGATAAAAGACACAGTAGATTCTACAAGCTGGAAATCTTCCCACCTCAGATCTAGCTCTAAAACTCAGGGGTATTTGTATAAACAGTTGAGAACTATGTTTTCCACTCCCAATATCACATTACTGAAATTCCTCCCAGAACTCCAGTTTGTCTAACCACCACAAAAATATCTGTTTTGTATCATTTGGTACACTACTTGTATCAGTCATGCAGCGGTTATTGATAATTTATCTTTCCTGCTAATTGTATACAGTTTAAATCAATGATGGCCAGTTTAACATTTGTATTAACTCAAGGACCTGCATTGCAAAGTCAACCACAGAGAAGCATTGGTCAACAAATATAACAGTTAGAATTTTGTTTTGAGTAATTCTAAGTTAAATCACCTTTCCCTCACCCCTGCTGGCCTATGAACTTAAAGAGAGACTGATGCTGCCTTTATAGCTGGAGGGGGGGGGGGGAGCTAACATCCACAGCATTACCTACTGTGACCCTTGTTCTCTATTGAAGAGTCTCTTGCCTCCTTTATCTTGCTGTGTGGACCCATGCACCTGCACCTTCTCAAATATACAATAAAGATGAAAACCAGGTTGGTTGCATGATATTTTCACTTCTCTATTATTCTGCAGAAGCATTTCTACTTTTAGAAATGCATTCTTTTATTTTTCAAATTAGTACCTAATGAAGAAACAAGTATCAAGTGAAATCAGACAAATGGAAAAGAAACAATATCAAATCTAAAGTAAAGCTGTAAATAACATTTTTTCAGCTGACTAATCTTGAGAAAAACATATATTTACATCTCTTCAAACTCGCTAAAATTAGTATAATAAAATCCACTTTTACTATAAAATCTAAATAATGCAAGGGAATGTATACAATTTTATCTTAAGATATTTAAATGGAATATAAAAACATAATTATTCATTATTTATTTTGATTAATTCATTATATTTATATACCACCTTTTTTCTTTCCAAGGAACTCAAAAGTGGCTTACAGAATTCTCTTCCTCTTCTCAATCTTATACTCATAATTTTATCAGAAACAGTCAGGTAAAGCTCTGTATTTGTTTAAAAAAGTTATGAAACACATTAACAGTAGAATCCCCAACTTAGAAGTAATCCTAATTAGGAATTACTCCTCAGAAATTGAGTATAGAATTGCGGCTTATGCATATTGCATTGACTTTCCCTGCCTAATCAAATATTCAGTAGCTGCTACTTTTGGCTACTGGAAAACATTTTCAGTAATACTTTTTCTTAGCTTTGTTTACTAAATATAAATCAAAACAAAGACAGTAAATTAGATCTCCATTGACTTACTGCACAGGAAGATTGTCTAACTCAAAATTCCTGGAAAACCTACATCCCCTGCTTGAAAACATATTTGACCGAATAAGTATGCATTCAGCAGCCACTGGAAGCTTGAATACTGAAAAAGCCAACTAGCTCCACCATGCAGTCTTAAGGCAAAGCTAAATACCTGTTAGTGTATAGTCTTTTCTTGGTCTCCTTGCTGATCTAAGTTTTCATGTGAAGTAGACTTTTAAATAAAGAGTACCTTTGGTCATTTATTTTATCACTACAGAGAAACCACATCCTCTCCAGAGTTAAGTGGATTTTTTTTCTCTATGGTCTAGCAGGATAGGACACTCACAATTTTAATCAAGTTACTGTAAGTAACAGTGCAATCCTATGTGTGCTTAGAAAGAATGCAGTAAGCTCCCCCCACTTCCACCATCCAACATAGGGAATGCTGAGATTTCTAAAATATTTTTTCTGATTAAACATGTGTAGGATTGTGCCCTAAATTATACTTAGTATAGGTTATTAATTGTTGGCCTGTTGCAAGCAGCACCATGTGCAAATGTTACTGTGAAAATCATGAAACAAACTTTCTGTGTAATGCAATCCCTAACATGTCTATTCAAAAGTAAACCCAATGGAATTTACATGCAAGACTCTAACCCTACCCTTTCAAGATATGCCATTTATTCTTTTTCTACAGCTGCAACAAACATGATTGTATTATATACTATAGCAGCAAAGAGAACTAAATACATTTTAGATAAAAGATTAGTGTTTTACAACGCTTATGATTTTACAGAAAAATCATGGATCTGATCAGTCAAGAATAGCTTATCTTTCCTTTGACAGTTCTAAATTACACACAATCTATTTTACTAATCTATTCATGAAAAAGCAACAAAGAAGCACACCAGAGACTAAGCATCATGCTGATGAGTCGAAAAAGCTTGAAAACTGTAAATTATTTTTTTAACTGTGCAAGTGGGTATGTATACAATCCACCAACCCACAAAGCCATTTTAACGTCCGTTGCACAACTCCGGAAGCTTAGCCATTTTTCCCAAGCACGTGTAGCACCATCTTAACGAGGTTTACTCTAGAGTAGGGGAAAGCATTCCCGCCTAAACGGTGCTTCGGATTATAACGTAGACCATAGGCCTGGTGGAGATCTCGGTGGAGAAGGCAAACAGCCTGCTGTACACTGCTGTGTACGGCACACACACAAGCTGAGAACCATAATGTGCCTGCGAGCCTCAACTTTTGCAGAAGCGAAACCCTCTTGCACCTGGCAGGGCGCCCATAGCGTTAAACTTCTGTAAAGATGCCATCGGGTCTCTGTTACAGAAAAGCGGTCTATCGTGCCAAAGAAAGGCGACAGGTGATTACTGGGGAGCGAGGGCGCAAGTCAGAGGCCCCCCTCCTCTGCTACCAGGATGCATGTTGCCACCAAACGCTGTCGGGGCTACACTTGCACTTCGCAGCCTTGCAAAGACCCGTTAGGAACCTCCACCCCTAAGCCAGAGGCTTCCTGCCAGCCGCTTAGTCGAAAGCGATTGACCGAGGTTCTGCCTACGCGCAGGTATCATCCCCCCGCGACAGCACCGCCAGTCAGTGACAAAACATGGCGCCGCCCCCTCAGAGAGAAAGCGGGAAAACTCCGCCGCCCCCTTGGCGCGTGAAGGCCATGTAACAAGGCACCGGATCCGGCTTTTACACGACATAATGGAAACGAGGGGCGCAGCGGTCCTTACCCGGCCCACAGAGACCGTGGCGCCGCCGCCTCTGTTTCGGGCGGCAACTAGGATGGGCTCCCGCTCCTCGTCGCTGGAGAAGTCTAGCTGCGAAGAGGCTCCGGGCGCGTTGCGGGCGGTGAGGTGCTGAAGGTAGAGCTGCACATATACGTCCTTGCGCTGTTCGCCGCCCGGGAGGCTCACATTGTTAGCGATCAACTCGCTCTTCAGCTTCTCCTTGGTGAGCACCGAGGGATCCGCCAGGAACTCGGGCATCGCCAGACTCGGGCTCTTGTCGCCGCCCTCCCCAGAGACAGCAAGAGAGGGAACCTCCAACAAAGAAGCGGGGGGAGGAGGGAGAAAGGAAGGAAGAGGAGGGGCGGGAGAGAGAGAAAGAGAAAAGGGGGGAGGAACAACCCGCCTGGCGCTCAACGTACCCAACTCCTTCGCGGCGCTCACAACGGACGGCTTTGCCCGTCCGCCAATAAAATAGGCCAGGATTGGTCCGCGGAATCGCAAAGTTGCCCTGGGATTGGCTGTACGGCTGAGAGGAGCGGCGCGCGGGTTCCCATCAGCGTCTTAGTATTAGCTTGTAGTCACGCAGTTTAAAATTCGACTCAGGCGGGAGCGGAGATTTCTGTGCCCCGCCCCACTTTGGTAACTTGCTGCTTCGACGGGGCTCTGCCAGAAAATAGGCAGCTTTGGTATTATGCTCCCGGTCACGGCACCCAGAAAGCACTTGTAAGAGAAAGACGATAACGTTCCTCGAGGGATCTCCCCAGGGTTCGGGGAAGGGCGCCTCTTGCCGGCGACATAGCCAAGGCGCTCACTGTGAAGGGGAGATGCGCCTTTGTGTACTTCAGGCGCTCCTTGAGGCGAAACCGTAGCTGGTGCTACAGTTAATATCCCATGCATTGGGTTTATAAGAATGTGCCCCAGCTTTCCTCCGACCGCTGCTGTGGTGACTCCCTTAGATCCGTTCAGTCCGAAGCAGGCCCTCGGGTGCCACGCGGCTGCCAAGCTTTGTGCGGAGAATCGAGCGCGTGTCGCACAATGTGCTCGCTTGACTTGCGCAGGCCAGAGGGGTTTGTTTGTTTTCTTAAACGAATACATATATTTAATTATTTAAAGCTTTTATAGACCGTCCATCCGCTGGCGTCCTGGGACGGTTTACAACAAGCAACAAGTAAAATAGGAAATAAAATGCTTTCCCTGGTCTCTCAGTTTTAGATGATGTAAAAGGAATCCGTTGGTTTTTTCAGTGATTGCATGATAGGATTTTGGAAAAGGTGGCTACCCTCTATTTCTGTATCAGCAGCCAACGATATAAAAAAAACTTTGTGCAGAAGAAAAATGTTTTTATTTTAATAAGTATTCAAAATCTATGCGATCAGTGTAGCACCTTCCTGCTCTGGTGTACCAGAGCCTTTTAGAGAATTAGTTTGGAGCGCTGCAGATAACTTACCACGACTATCCCATTCCTCGGGTGCATAGTCAGCCTAAAAGTTCCCGGGGAGGCACCAAAAAATAAAGGAGACAGTTCATCTGGTTTTCAGGACTTTTAAAGGCACAGTTGTACTTTTTTTAATTAGTTGACTAAATTCGTACTATCTCTGTCAAATCTTGCTTTTCTGCCTAGGTTTAAAACTATAGATTATTTATCTGTAGTTCCTTTTTGTGTCTCATCATCTGAAGCCAATTCTACAAAAACCTTGTATCATAAGCCTTATATTAATGTGTCCCTCAATTAAGTATCTTCCCAAGTGACAGAAAATAAAGATATTCTGTAGTGCTAGGTACACACTGGCCATCTGCTTTGTGAACTGGGTTGAGAGCTAAGGCTGCAACCAGTGACAGCCCTTTTAAACAACTTCCTTAGAATTACCTGTCATCCATAAAGTGCAGAGCTTTTTCTTGTGATGGTTGTAGAGCTCTAGAGACAAAGGAGAAATCAGGAGTGGGAAGTAGAGCCACTGAAAGCAATAGGCACAGCCCTACCAAAACAAAACAAAAAACCCCACAAAGAACAGTAAATGGATTTTCCTCTAGCACAAATGAACTACACAAAAGGGAGCATGCAATCTCTTGCTCTACTTTGATGAAAGTGTCAAATATTAGAATACTATGAATTCAGAAACACTGCATACAAACAATGTCTGTGTAGTCATTTTAATTTGTTCCCCATTTAGGACAAGTCATTTGTGTATACCAAATGAAAGATGGAAAAGCCTTCCACCAAAATGTTATTGTGTGTGGGAAATCTCTGTCATATATGGTGGCACACATGATTGGATGGTATCATAGTGGAGACTGGCCACTGTAAAGTATCATCTAAGGCAGACGTCACATGAAACCTATTTTATGTCCATTGCCTCTTAAAAGTGGTCTATATGTTCAGAAAAAGTATGTGATATGGTTTCTGGGACTGCAATATTCCTGGTATGACCATAAGAGGACAAATCCCTCCAGGATTGTTTATAAGTTACATCAATCTTTAGTAAAATCGCAATAAATATTTATTTATTTATTTATTTATTTAGGAAGCTTCTATGCCGCCCCATTCGCTGAAGCCTTGGGGCGGCTCACAACAATAAATCACAATATAAAAACAATATAATTTGAGTCGACCTGGCCAAAGAATAAAATAAATAAATAGTATTAACAATTAAAATAACGCTTAAATAAAAAAATATTTAAAACAACAAGTGATTTGTATCCTTCCCACAAGGTAGGTGGTAAGAGAAGTTCCTGGAATTTTCACCATATTCTCATGGCAGATTTTATCACCTACATTTGTGGAATTAGAAATGTTTTCCTTTTCTTAGGATGATCTCAACCAAACTGGATGCTTCCTCATTCCTGGCAGTTTTTCCCTAGGGTGCATTTTAAAAGCTGTTCTGCCACTTTTTTTGACTGCTTTGCAGTGTAAGGTGCTTGAGTTTTAGGAATGCATACTACATGTTTTTTCTGCATATAGAACCATTCCTCAACAAACTGTCTGCAATGAAAACTGAGGAGCCATGGCTGCCACTTGATGTATTTGAAGCTGATCAATATTTATAGGGTGATATTATGGACCCTTTTTTGAAAGAATTCCTGGATGTACCAAGCTGCAACTTTACCACCTGGCCATTCCAGGCAAGAGCATCAAACAAATCACATGATTAAGTCTATAATAGTATGTATGCTTATGTGGGAGTAAGCACATTGAAATTACAAGGACTTGCCTATAAGTAAACATACTAACGTTTGGCTACCTAGAGCTGTGTATAAATATTTCAACTGTCAAGCAAAGAACTGAATTTGTGCCAAAAAATGTGAAGCATGTTGAACACTGAAGCCAAAAGGTTTTTTCTTCTTCTGTGCAGTACCATTCCAGAATGTCTAAGCCTGTAGTTATGTGAAAATGGGAGATCAAAACATTTTCCTTAATCTCAAATAAAAATAAACATCTTGGTAATCCCAGACAGTTTATTAATGTTTTGTTTAATGACATTCTGAGCAAAACCAAAGAACAGTTCTTATTGCCTCGTATAAGTTTTGAGATTGAAAATAAGCAATTTCACTTTATTATGTGTTTCTGTGCAAGGTAAAACAGTAATAGGCATTTTCAATCTAGCACACAGTTTAGATTGTAATCTATTGCCCTGCATATTTGTTGTACTATCTATTTGTAGTATTCATATACTGCTAAGTATAATAAAATCACTAAGCAGTTTACAAATAAATATGTAAACCATATCAAAATATGAATTACAATCACATTTAAAATACAATTTTTCAAATAGTTGTACTAATATGCAGCAATACAAGATTGATATCTGATTGATGGATTAAATTAATATGGAAATTATTTCATATAACTGCAAGAGTTTTTGTGTTTCTAATTTAACTTCTTCACAAAGGAACATTTGGATAACAAATGCCTATGATTTATTACACAAATATCAACAGTTCCGTTGAAAGGCATCTTACAAAATCATACCTTCTCTCAAGGAGTGTACTAACAGCTATGCCAGTAAAACAACACACACCATAATACACAGTAATTTCAGAATATTATCTTTATGATAGGCAGGCGTGATAGGTATAAGCAGTTTTTCAAGGCATAGCTGTTAGTCGGTTGCAGGAAACAAAGATTCAGGTGGCACTTTACAGTTTAACTATTTTTTATAGTGTAAGTTCATGGACCCTAGCCCTTTTCATTAGATATATGAAGTGTTTTCCTGAATTGCAACCATCAACACATGGTTGGGTGGAAAATGGGCAGAAAATCCAAAGAGGTGAGAGGGAAATGATGTGCAACAAATGCATAAAGTGATAATTATCTTACTATCTGTGGTCATTCACAAACCAGTTTTTGTGTGATAACATAAACATCCTGGATTAACATGTCTTGTGACTGATTCATTTTAAAACTTTTGTCCCTGTCCAAAGCACAGAAGAAAGAGTTGAACCTCTTAATGAGTTCTAGGACAAGTAATTTGTCTCTGAAATTCATTTGTTCCAAAAAGCCAGCAATTTCAGGTTCTTCCAAATGAGACCCCCATGACCTAACAGTCTGCCTCATTCACAGGATTGTACGGGGGGGGGGGGGTGATATCACCTATCACTTGTAACCCCCATCATATATTCCCAGTGCTACTCCTGTCTTTTGTCTTATTGCAGCAAATGGTTAAGAAAAAAAAATAGCTGCAAATGGCTCCTGATTAATAGCTTTTCTAGTCCTCCATTGGAAATCTTCCAGAGTCTCCTTGGAGGCTGAAATGTCCCTGCACTGATTTTTTAAAATTGCAACTTCTGATGTCTAGTCATTATTTTTCCAGAGTCTAGTCTGCTTCACTATGAAGAATGCAGACAGGTATTGCTGGCAAATGATGGCATGCTGGAGGATGAGCAGGCGCATGAACCTCTGATGTTATGGGCACCATCAGGTCTCGTAACAGAGTTGCCAGAATAGACATGTAGATGTCTGTGACTCCTGGGTTTGTCACAGGGCCTGGTAGGCATCAGGCTGTTGTTTTCCATTCACATCTTCCTAAAAGTAAATAAGATATTAAATGCAAAGTATACAGTGAGATTTGAGAAGGACATATCAATTGCCCGGACAGTGAAAGAGTGAAATCATTTGTAGATGGTAAGCAGTTGCTGGTGCCAGGCCTTGGATACCCAAATTCTCTCACAAATCCTGGTCTTGCAAAAACAGAACATACTTGATTCTCGTATCATTCTAGACTGTACAGTGACTTCTGGGAGGAGACTTACAACTTCTTCAGTAAAGTAATTTACATGTGCATGTTACTTTAATGAAGCAAAACAAGCAAAGAATTCTGTGGCACTGTACTTTAAAGACTAACAATTTCATTGCGGAATAAGCTTTGTGGACCATAAACCACCCCTGGATATATTAAGTGTCCTGCTCAGCCATCAGATGTATACATAAATGGTTAGCAAGGAAAAGGA